TGGTTCCTTCTTTGTGGTTTTTCTAACTCTAGGTTTTTGCATATTTCATTATAATATTTGACTTTGTGATCTTGAGCTGTCCTTTGAAATTTTCTATTCAGTTCTTTGCCTTTATCACTTCTTCCATTTGCATTAGCTACTCGATGAATAAGAGCACGTTTCATAGTCTCTTCTGATAAATTCACACTAGTCTACAAGAAGCAAAAAACAACCTTGAATCTACCCCACCCAAATTTCAAGGACATCTCAAGAACAGATTTGAAGCATTGAACACTTATGCCAGAAGCCCTGATGAGCTGTGGGAGGACATCAGGAACAGCATTCTTGAAGAAGAGAAACATAGATTACATAATTTGGTGAAGAAGGTGAAAGCTATGTTTGCAGGATTGCATGAACAATTGAGAAAAACCCATTGCTTATGGGAAGAGGGTTGATTCTAGCAAGAAATTTACATACACATCTTGAACAAAATGGCTAGCTTTAACTGCGATTTTACAAAGTATAAATAATCCCTCAAGTTGAATTATATAATATTTAACTGGTATTACAATAAAACAATAAAATTAGTTGCTGTAGAGTCGATTCTGGCTCCTGTCAATGCCATGTGTTTCAGATAGATGTGCACACAATAGGATTTTCAATGGTTGTAATATTTTTAAAGAGCCCTGGTGGCACTATTGATTAGGAGTTGGGCTGCTAAAAACTAGGTTGGCTGTTCAAACCCACCAATTGCTCTGCAAGAGAAAGATGAGACTGTCAGTTCCCGTAAAGATTTACATCCTCAGAAACCATATATGGGGGTCTATGAGTTGGAATCAACTTGATGACAATGGATTTCTGGATAATGACCTTTTGGAAGTAGATCAACAGACTTTTCTTCCAAGGTGTCTCTGGGTAGGCTCAAAGTGCCAACTTTTCAATTCATAGCTGAGTTCTTAACTATTTGCACTACCCAGGAGTTCCAACTGATATTAAGTCTATGATATAACAATAATGCATGATCAATAAGTGAATTTGTTTTTAAAAGAGACAACCTGGAGTGGTCATTATTTGCATTGGTTTTCAATTATATACACAATAATCTTAAAGGCTGATAAAAAGCCTACCATGGGAAACTCTGCAGGCTGAAAAAAGAGACGTCATTACAAACCTTCCCTGTATCCACTGACTGACAGCTTTTCATTCAATAAGGCAGGAGTTAAGTAGAACCTCATTCTTCTACTCAATGCACTGACTCAGAATCAAACCCAGCAACACTACAGACTATAAGTGCCTGTACAATCCAGCACCCAGATACCTTCTTGCCATCGTCAACTACCACATTTCCAAACTCCCTCACCACCACCATGTACTACCCATGTCTGCCTCCTTGCTATCCCTTCAACAAAGCAAAAGCACACTCGTGTTTCACAGCCTTCGCACGGCCTGCTCCCTCCATCTTCAATGTTCTTTCTCCCATCTCACCTAAGAATATACATATTGTATCAATTAAAGTCATTTTAATTTTCAAAAAGAAAAATAATTACTTACCCTGAAGATGAAGCTTTCTTACTTGTACTTGAGCACAGGGTCCATCTTTGAAGCTTTCCAAAGGGAAGACCAACCCTTTGCTTCTCTTTATGTTAATTAAAGGCTCTATTGCAAGAAGAAGAGTTAAATCCATCTCTGCTTTCTTTGCCTCTGGATAATTCTGCTTCTAAAAGAAGTAAGTATATATCACGAGTTAATCAGTAATTAAATGCTATCTTAACAAAACGAAAACAAATTTATGGTTTTGCATATATTACCTGGAGAAAATAAAGAAGTTGCACAGCTAGAGATTCAAATAAACTCCATTCCTCATAATTAAAGGCTAATTTTGTAAATTTCACAGCAGCTTCTAGAGAAATGATATTTTGTCTTTCTAGAATATACTCCAGGAGAGATGATTTTGAAAACTCAAGCATTCCATCCGTGTGAAAATTTGAAACTAGAAAGGAAAGAAAGATGCATGAGTGTCATTCGTGGAAATAACTATTTACAAAATATTAGCTGCCAGATGCTACCAGGGAGTAGGAAACAAAATAAAATAAAATTGACACAATTCTTG